GGTGTTTTGCATAAAACAGGTGAAATAATGACTCCCTGACCCCCTTCCTTGGCCTCTTTTCCAACCTTTTGACCTTGGCTCCTTAATTATTTTTTCTTTGTCTCTGTATTGCCTAGTGTGGGCCGGAGGGCTGCTAGCTGGTAGCATGAGGCTCTGGGAATAACATCCCTGTGAAGTAGCTGCAGTTCTTTCCTCACCTCTCCCTCCTCACCTTCCCCCATGCGAGGTCCTTCACGTGTTTGCTTCTGGCCTCCCCGCAGCTTACACCAACAACCAGCCCGACATCGTCACCCAGGGCTGGTTCATCGGGCTCATGTGCGCCATCGCCCTCCTGGTGCTGATCCTGCTCATCGTCTGTTTCATCAAGAGGAGCCGTGGTTAGGGGCCTGTTCTCAGTGAGCCTAACTCTAGCCAAGAAACAATCCTCTTGCCTGTTCTATGCATCTTAGACCTGCCAGAAAGCTCTTGAGGTAATTAAGTTGCTTGAATTGGGCGGATGGAGCCGTCCAGGCAGCTCCAGAGAGGGCATGGGAGGAACCCCGGTCCCTGTTAAGAATGACCCTCCTTCCCTTGACTCACCATCCATCTGCTCGGTAAACTGGCTTTTCTCAGACCGAATCTCATTAGAAACCTGTGTCCAAGGAGGAGGAGGAGGAGAGGCATGAGCTCTGACCGTGAGAGAGAGTGGCGAGGAGGGTCTGGACAGAAGCAGCACAGCCAGGAGAGAGGCTGCAGCGTTGGGCTCGGCGTGGTGAGGACGCCATGGCAGACACCCTAACAGGACAGCAGCTCCCGCGTGAGGAGCAGGCCGAGGCAGAGGGGCAGGATGCACTGACAGGGTCCCTCCTGGCCCTTCAAGGGCTTTGGGCTTCCCTAGAGGCCCAGGGGGCATTTCTCTTCTGGGGGCCTCAAGGTCCTCCAGCCCAGATTAACTACAGTCAAGGACAAGGACCTCTGGCGTTCTTGTTTCTGGAAATATTGTCTTCAAATGGGCCAGACAGTCCTCTGTCTGCGATGGATTAGGCAGGGTGACAGGAGTCAGAATAACGGGTGGCCCTGGGAGTGAAAACCCTGCCCGGTTGCAGAGTGAAATCGTCCCTTGCCCCCACAGCCCCCGTGGCCACACACACCCCATGCTCCCAGTGCCTGCTCGTCTCCATCCTGGAGACCAAATCCTCCTCCAGGACCCACCTAAACTCAGAGAGCGGACACTTCCTTCTTCCCCGGCCCCCTTACCCGCGGCCCCTGGGACTCTGGAGGGTTGTGCTGCTCCTTGAAGTGAGGGGTGGGCGGGAAATCCTCATTCCTGTTCCAGTGAATGATGTTGCTGTCACGCTGAGTGCTGTGCTGGGACTGTTCTTCTGTAAGAGAGAAAGCCAGAGCTAGAGAGGTGGGTGGCCTGACTGCGTTCACGTCCCTGTTCCAAATGGAACTGGACCCCTGAAGAACGCCTCAGGGAGATGAAAGGAGCCCCTTAGAAAGCTCAGGGCACCAGGAGCCATGACTCCTGGGCCTGCGTCTTCACTCTAGACTCAGTTAGTTGCCAATTTGTTATGTGGCGTGTCCTTCACCTCTCAACGCCTGTTTTCCTCCCCTAAAAGGGAGGTGATGATCCTTCTTTACACCCCAAAAAGGACAAATAGTCATTCCTTCATGACCTGCTGGGTGCCAGGTTCTGGGCTGGGTGCTAAGGACTCTAGAAGGAAAGACATCTCCCCCTCAGGGACATGTCAGCGGGCACAGAAGGAAGAGCACGGCACAGGACAGGGCCTTGGTGGATGTTTTCCAATCGCAGAGGTGGGGGAGGGAGCCACACGAACACCTGAGGCCACGGCATGCTCCGAGGAGCTTTGGAGAAGCACAGGGTGCCCCGCCCTCAAGGGCAGAACTGGCGTTCTGTCACAGGCATAGGAAACACACACATAACTACACACAGCAGGGTAAGGAAGGTGCCAGAGAGAGGATTTCACCCATTGGGTGTTTAGGGAAGACCTCGGGGAGGGTTGTGGGGGGCCCGGGGGGAGGAGCATTTACTAGTAGTTGTGGGTGGAGATGTAAGGAAGCCCGTGGGGAGGAGGAGGAAGAGACAGAATCAACTTGGCAGCTGATTCAATGTGGAAGCAAGAACAAGGGAGGCATCGCTGGTGCCCTGTCCAGGGGAAGAATGGGTGCCCCAAAGGTGGTGTCTCCGGCTCTGTGGTCAGGGCCCTGCAGAGAGAGACACACTCAGTCCTCACGTCTGTGTCTTTGCTTCTCTTACTGACCAAGTGCGAGAAAAGAAGGATGTTCCCCTTGGCCCCGAGGACCCCAAAGAAGAAGATGGCTCGTTTGACTACAGGTGGGTGGTCTCCTTGGCTCCTGTAGGCATGCAGTGCCCCCTGTCAGGTGGCTGCCCTCGCTGCCCTGAGCAGGGCCCTGCCCTCAGCAGCTGGCGTGACTGACGGGCCACTGTGCTGAGGTCCTCCCCCATCGACCATTGGGCGGTCAGCTCCGTCTCCGGCAGCACCTGCTCGTCCTGCTTGTCCAAACATGGCTGCCCCCACACTGCCCGACACACGTGCGCGGCCCAGGTCGCTCGGGCTATTTACACGTGTTCCCAGGGTCTGGGAACCCTGTTCCCAGCTTTCTTCTCTGAAAACAAGCGCTGGGTCCTCTTTGCTATGAAGTGAGCCGGGCTCTCCGCTTCCTCTCTGCCTACACCCCATTCCAACCTGAAGATACTGTCCCGGGGAAGCTGGATTGTCCTAAAGGGTGGGCTAGGTGAGGGGTACAGGGCATGGTGGGAGGGGGGGTGTCCTAGGCCTTTTCCTTAGCAACTTGAACAGTATCTCTGGGCTTTAGGCTGAAATAGGCCTTAGAGAAGCATCAGGGTCAGCGACTGTCCCAACTGAGAGGACTGGGGCCCACACTGAGCGACGACCTGCCCAAGACTCACATTCGCCACTTAGTGAGCTAGTGGCAGAGCTGGGAGGCCAGGGGCCCAGCTCCCAGCTACGGCCGTTGTCCGTCCCCATGCTCCTTCTCAGGTCTGGACCGGCCTTCGTATCTGGCTTAGCAGAGTGGCGGTCTGCCTGTTTTGACGGCGAGCGTATTTTGAATTGAGGAACAGTGCGTGGTGGGTCATTCCCAGACCAAGTGGGGTGCGAGGAAATGCTCTCCTCAGAGCCCTCCTTCCCCACCCCACCCAGTCACTCTCCGGGGCCACGTCATCCCTGTCCTCCTCTGACCTCCTTATCCCTTCCTGGGCCTCCGCCACTCTGCCCATCCGCAGCCTGGCAAGCAGAGCAGATCAATGGGCAGCAGACTCACTGTCCACATTGGAGCCTGTCTGGCGGCTTAAGGACCACGTCCAGCCAACCTCCCGTAAGCCTCCCACAGGGCAGGCAGGCGAGGCCCCTCCCGACGGTCCTCAGGGAACCCTGGTGGGGCCCAGCTCCTCCATAAGCTGTTCCCTGGTCATCAGGTCCCAAGGCTGTGGGGCGTTCTCTCCCCCAGACCCTCAGTGTAGCCACCGAGGAGGGGTGAGGCCCTCAAATGCCGGACCAGGCAGCCTGTGCTGGGAGAAGCTGTTTGCACAGGCACCGCTCCTCCCCTGGACGCCAAAGCTGGTGGGCAAAACCCCTGCCTCCTCCCCAACCCACTCCTGCCCCGCCGACACTGAGGTTGGACACGCATGCACGGACCGTGCACACCCCCCGCCTCAGCTTTGGCTGGGGTGGGGGTGAGGTCTGCAGCATTCATCCTAGAGCCCCTACTGGGATGAGTCCAAGAGCCCTAAACTGGGAAAGGGCTGAAATGAAGACATCAGAGGAAAAGACAAGTTTCTAGGCACACAGGCCCGGGGCAAGGAGAGCACCTCTCGCTGGGGATTTCTCTGCCCCCGCCCCCCGGGTTCCTCCCACCCCTTGTCTACCTGCCCTTGGAGGCTTCTTGGAAGGTAGGCTGACAGGAGGCTGGAGCAGGGTCCCCTGTCATCCTGGCTTCTCTCATCTTCCCTTCGAGAGGTGTGTCCCTTCCAGACCTGGGTCCTCCCTGCCTCCCACCGAGAGGGCATCCCTTTCCGGTCCAGCGGTCGCATTTACCTCGGGGCCTGGAATGCCCTCAAGTCACAGACACAGTCCTCATGTTTCTGCGGGTGGTGGGCGAGCTCTGGGGAGGGAATGCATGCGTAAGGGGACTGGTAACTAGAATCTAGTTGCTAGACGAGGTGCAGCCCAATTAATGAATCGCTTAATAAAACCAATTTAGATCTTCAAGTTTTTAAGAACTCTGCTAGGTCTCAAAAGGTGAGCTCCACTTCCCTCACTCGGCCCCTCTCCCGCAGCACGGCCTTAGAACACAGTAGCTATGAATGGGGCCGCAATCACTTGATCACTCGTAACGTGGGGAGAGTGGGCTGATAGTCTTCCATCTGCTAATGCCCAGCACCTCCGCTCTCACTCGCGCCTTCCCCTGACAGCTGCCTTCGCCCAGCACTGCTGTTAGAGGCCAGACCGCACTCCCCAAGATAACGGCCACTCTGCCTGTTTCCTGCACACCCAGGAAGGAGTACTGAGTGTGGCCTGGGGACTGCGGAGGGGACAGTGTGTGTCTGCTCAGACCACCTGGCACCGCTATCGTCCCGCCTACCGGGACCCAGATCCTCATGGCTGGTCCCACGGCCTCCTGCCTGGGCGCCGATTCCCCTCTGAAGCGCAGCCAGCAGCACCTAGCCACCCTCTGAGCCTAAAGGGCAGTTTCCCAGCCGGGAGACGGGATGTGGTGCCTGAGCAGATGCTGGCCCACTCGGGTGCCTCACCTGCTGGGGGACCGCAGGCACAGCGGGCAGCTGCCACCCTCACCAACAGCCTCCCAGCCCTCCCTGCACAAGAGGGGCCTCAGGGAGCTACAGGATGCCTTTGAGCCGTTTCTGGTCTCACCTGTTTTCTGCATGTCACTCCCTCTTTCACTTGCTAGGCCCGAAGCAACAGCATCTGTTTGTAGATAAATGAGAGAGAGAGAGACAGCTGCTGAGAGAAACAACACCTGGGCTGAGAAGGGGAGGGGGCAGGGCCAAGGATTGTTTCTTTAAGACCTGACCCTGGTTTTCTGTCAAGGGCAGAGCCTTTTCAGACTAAGCCACTCATCAGCCCTGGCCGGGCAGCTCAGTTGGTTAGCATCATCCTGATTCGCCCAGATTGCGGGTTCCATCCCCACTCGGGGCACATACAAGCGTCAGCCAATGAATGCATAAATAAGTAGAACAACAAATCTCTCTCTCTCTCTCTCTCTCTCTCATCAATCAATAAAAAAGTTTAATGGTGATAAAAAACCGAAGTCACAAATCAAGAGTCAAACCAGCCCAACCCCTCTTGATGGAGAGGTTCAGAGAAGGGCTGCCCCATCCTGACTCCCATCCACCTGGTCTCCCAGCAGTTGGCTCTGCCTACTCCCTCCCCCCCGCGCCCCCCAGAGAGTGGCCCAGCCCAGGAGACAAGCATGGGCTCCTGTCCCAGCTCTGCACCAACTTTCCCCCTCACTTGGAGAAGCCGCGTGGCCTCCGGGCCATAGTTTCCCGTCTGTAGAACTGGCTGGACGGGGAGGGCTGGACGGGCTGGTCCCTGAGGACCTGTCCCCTCGGAGCTGTGTAGCCCATCGTGCCTGTGCGTGTGTGGGCAGCGCGGGGCCGGGCCAGCTCTGATTCTCTGTCTCTCTCCGGCCAGCGATGAGGACAACAAGCCGCTGCAGGGGAGCCAGACGTCGCTGGACGGCACCATCAAGCAGCAGGAGAGTGACGACAGCCTGGTGGACTATGGCGAGGGCGGCGAGGGGCAGTTCAATGAGGACGGCTCCTTCATCGGCCAGTACACGGTCAAAAAGGACAAGGAGGAGACCGAAGGCAACGAGAGCTCGGAGGCCACGTCGCCCGTCAACGCCATCTACTCTCTGGCCTAGCGGGGCCCGGGCACAGCCACTGCTTTCCAAGTGGGGGGAGAGGCGCGGAGGCGACCGAGCCACCGCCACCTTCATGGACAGGGTACAGTGTGGGGGCCTGCCAAGCTGTGAGGACCACTGACCGCCCAGCCAACCATAAGCCCCTCCCCATGACCCACACGCCAGGTGCCACCGGTGGGGGAGAGCCCGAGCCATGGCCGAGCTCAGCTGGCGGGCACCCGGGCCCTTGCTCAGCCTCACAGCCGCCCTGAGCCTTCCCCCGGCACTGCCTGCCCTTGACCTCAGCATACACTCACCACTTCCTGTCGGTTCTGGTACTTGTCATGGCCTTTGTTTCGCTTTATCCATCTTCCCCTTCAGACCCAATGTCTCCACTTTCCCTTCCTTCTGAAGTATCCCTGGGAAGAGAAAGAATAGGTGGATTCTCTCTCCCCGCACCCACTCCCCCCAAAAAATACTGCAACAATGGGTAAAAAAAGCTTTGGTCCATAAAAGAACATACAGAAAAGCTGCAGTATTCAACCGCGTGGGGCCAGTGATTTCGAAGGATGCCTTTCTCGCCGTATGCCTCCCCCTGCCCACAAACCATCGCCTCGGCCTTGTCTGTTGCTGAGCTGGGCTTGGCTCCTTTCCGGAAAAATGACAGTATTTTTGGCAGGGAGAGGGCGGACAGGGATTCTTGCCTGGCTCTGGCTCACTGGGAGGTGGGCTACCTCTTGCTCCTCCCTGTGACCCTGCCCGATACTCCAGAGTGTCCGGGACAAGAGCCGCACCGACTGGTGGAGGAGTGTGAGGAGCAGGAGCGGGCCCTGATGGAAAGTTCAACTCCAGTGACTGGGGACCTCAAGCAGCAGAAAGCAGGCACCCGGTCCCTGGGGAGCTGTGCTCACCTCGAGAGAGGAGAACAAGACTGGGTTTGGACTCCTTCCTCCCCATGGGACACCCAGGACTAGGCGTGAGGGCCACGCCCACTCTATCCCAGAGGAGAGGGTGCCCCCCACCTGGCCAGGGTCTGCGCCATGCCCTCCAGGAGATGGGGCCTTGCGGTGCGGAAGCTTGGCTGGGTGTCGGGGTGTAAAGCACTGCTCCCCCTTCACCTCTGCAGGTGTCATCCCTTCGGTCGGTTCTCTGTAACATGGCGACTGTGCAGACGGGGCCCCGCTGCCCCCAGACCAGCTGGTGTCCTTCCCGTCGGGTGTTTCCCTGTGGGCACCCTGCGGGGACAGCACCCGAGCCGTGCTGTGAAGCCTGGCCTGGAGGACTCGGCGCGCCTCTCTTCGTATGCCTTACGCAACTCTCCGGTGTCCCTGCAGCCCCGGGCGCCAGCCCTCCCTGCAAGCCGCAGCCTCCCGCAGGCCTGTCTGGAGAACAGGCGGCCTATGCCAGCATCACAGCAGACCCAGAAGCAACCACTTCACACGTGCCCTGCGAGCCGTGGCCCAGAGGGGACCTTCGCAGACCTGCCTGCAGTGCTCAGAGACCGAAGGCATGGCTTTCGTCCACCCCACTAACCCGCTCTCGAAACCAAAGGTACCCGGTCTCAGAGGAGCGAGAGCTTGAGCCTGAGAGGAATCTTGAGCTGTCGCTGCAGCTGGCGTCGGGTTCAGGAGGGGGACGCTGACCCTGTGATGGGCCACCTGCCGCAGACATAGCCTCTGAGTTGAGCCTCCAGCTGCTGGCCAGGGACCTGGGCAGGAATGGGGCTGTGCCCTTCAGAGACTTTATTGAAGCAGCATTTGCCACTTGTATACGCCGCAAAGGTATTAGCTGTGCCTGCATCACTTAGTGACCAGTCAGTGGAGGTCAGGCCCACAGACACACACACTCTGTCTGCAGGTAAGAAACCATAGCCCAGAGCTGGGCCAGTTGTTTGAACCTGGGAATCACGAGCAGGTTTGCTACCTAGAAGCCCCAAGGAGCAGCTCTCTCTTGGCGACCGGAACAGGGTGAATAGCAGGGGGCTGGGGAGTGAGCTCAGGGCCCTTCCCCTGGCCTCCCTCTGCCACCTGCCTGGACACAGCCGGGTATTCCTGCAGCCTAGGTCCCGGGCCCTGCAGGGAGTGCCGGGCCTGAATGAAAGGACCAGCCTTTTCAGAAAACACTGTGTCTGAGCAAGATAGTTTCTCAGGCCCTGCGTCCATATTGCACCACACACACTAATGAACTGACTGCACCGGAAACGGTCTCCTAGGGCAAGCAGGACTGTGGGAAGTCATTGGGCCCATCTCCCTGCTTCTACAAAGTCTGCTGCACAGCTGATGGCCACGAAGGGCCCCCCGCTACCCCTGGGGCAGTGATTCCTCAGCCTGTCTTCACTCCTCGTTTACACCCCGCTTGGCTGTGTACTACCCCTCGCCCACACCACCATGCCATCACGGCAGCAAGAGCAAACCTGGGCCTGGAGAACCAAGTTTTCCCCAAGCACAGGTGGCAGGTGCTTAGAGAGAGATGTGGGTTAGGGTTAGGGAGGCAGCCCTTCCAGGGAGAAGAAAGTCCATTTTTCACGGCACCGTGCCAGAATCCACCCAGCTCAGCAGGAGAAAAGTATTGTCCCCACTCCCTGCCAGCCAGGGCTCTCACACAGTCACCCCAAAACACCCCACAACCATGCCGGGAGAGGGCGATACCATTGGTGCTTTGGCCTGTCTGGCTGGGCGGCCCGGAGTGGGGAGAAGTGTAGGTCATCTCGCGGTGACTACAAGTTTATCGCCTGTGCTGCGATGATCGCTCAGCATATACTCTTATGTTTTTATTGACTGAGAGAGAGAGGACGGGAGAGAGAGACCCATCAACCAGCTGCCTCCTGCACACCCCCACTGGGGCTCTAGCCTACAACCTGGGCATGTGCCCTGACCGGGAATCGAACCGGCAACTCTCGGTGCATGGGACAACGCTCAACCAACTGAGCCACACTGGCCAGGGCTCAGCATATCCTTTTTCTTTTCTTTTTTAAAATATATTTTATTGACTTTTTACAGATAGGAAGGGAGAGATATAGAAAGTTTGAAACATCGATGAGAGAGAAACATTGATCAGCTGCCTCCTGCACACCCCCTACTGGGGATGTGCCCGCAACCAAGGTACATGCCCTTGACCAGAATCGAACCTGGGACCCTTCAATCCGCAGGTGGACGCTCTATCCACTGAGCCAAACCTGTTAGTGCTCAGCATATCCTCTTGAACATCGACTATGAGCTGGGCTCTGAGCCGTGAATACTGTGGTGAAGTCAGGTGTGGCCCCTGCCTTCTCAGGGCTGCCAGCCAGTGTCCGGTGAGCATCCTGCCATAGGGCCAGGGGACAGCTGCCACCACCCCCCCCCGGCCTAGCTTGGGACAGAATGGCATTGCTTGGGAGCCCTCTGAGCGTGTGAGCTGCGAAGGGCCCAGGCTCGAAGGGAGAAGCTTTAGAGAGAGAACTTGGTCTGCAAGGCTGGGCAAGACAGGGCATCAAACCCCCGGGGCAGCTGAGGACCAGCCCACCTCCTGAGCTCTGCTCCTCGGGCAAGTGTATTGGTGCCTCGGTCTCCCCTCGTCAGTCCCCCAGTGAATACCTCTCCCTACAGGGGGGGATGGGCCCACCTGGGGAGCAAGGGGGCCAGTGTCGGGGGAGCATCCGCTATAGGGCCAGGGGACAGCTGCCTCCCACCTTGCCTGGCGCCTGGAGAATGGGACTGGTTCTTTCTTGCCTGGCTTTTGAGGCGGGGGGGGGGTGCTGAGTTTAAGCCAAAGGGACAACCAGACTGGCTCCTTGCCTTGTCCACTGCCTTTGCCTGCGAGTTTGGACGTATCGGGTCCACCCCCAAGGTCCAGAGCAGGTTCCACCCGCCTGAGCAGCAGCCGGTGCCCACACTGCTCGCCCTGCGAGGGGTGTCCGCTGCCTGGCAACTAGTTTCATCATTTCCCTGAGCGGTTGGCCTTAGCAAAGGGGTGGAAACAGACCCAGGTGTATCTGTGGGCTTCCCAGCTAAGGGACTGCTCCCCCACCCCCGCCCAGCACCCTCACAGGGGCGCACCCTTACATGGACACGCTGCAGACCGAGGCCACATGGCCGGCAGCTCCTCGGGAAGAACGATGTCTCGGAGAGGCGGGGTCCACACTCAGGCCCCCGTGAGCTGTGAAGGGCTGTGTGGGGTGCAGTGTGCGATTTGGGGCAGAAGGAAGGCGGCGCAGGCCGGGCCCCTCTAGGCCACTGCAGAGGGAAAAACCAAGCGAGAACAAGTCTGGTGCAAAGGAGAGCGAGCCTGCCCCAGGCACAGCACAGACAGTGGCCCTTTAAGGCACCGGGAGCCCTTCGCAAGGTCAGAGCCAAGTCACAGAGCATCGCAAACGGGGTGGCTGGCGGGGTGGGGACTTGATCTGCCATTACCTGTCTTTGCGAGGCTGCTTCCCTCACACTGAAGAGGTGAGGTTCCTTGGGCTCTCAGCCAGCAGGAGCTGGCACCAGGGCACCACTTCTCAGCGGGAGGGTGGCAAGAGCCTGAAATATGGGCACAGAGCACTCCCCGCTCATGACACCGTGAT